AAGTGACCCAGGAACACTGTGTGTTATCAGGAAATGCCCCTAGGGACAGCTTCCTGTCCATTCAGGAGAAAAGGGGACTGTGGCTTCATTTGGGAGAGCCCAGTTTTGTGTTTGTGATCTACGTACCAACCAGCATTGACAGTTTGATTACCACTGCTCCAAAATGAGGACAGCAGATCATGTGGAGTAAGCATTTCTGTAAATGATTGTTGACAGTTTTGAAAGACAAACAAATAAAGCAAACACTTGGGGTTTTTTGTTTGTTTCATTTGATTATTATGGGAGCCTAATTCAGAGTTTAAGAAGAAAAAACTTTCAGTAATGATTTAGGACATGTCATAATTATGTTCATCTTTAAAAATAAACTAGAGTGGAGAGCAAAGCCTGAAAGGAGGGGGAAGAAGGGGATGAGTAATTAGGAGTGTCTGAAATTCTCAACAATACTGGGGAGATTTCTACCCCCCCCCGATCTGCCACTCAGCAACGCCCATATATTGGTTTAAATATCAGCCAGAGGTGATGATTGTTTGACATTTATACTAGTCAAGAATATTTGTATTGCTTATAGTATAAGCCACGTAACATAGAACTACTATATGTAAACTCCTGTACCTATGTGCCACCCAAGAAGTCCAAGGGGGCAGATAGTAATTTTCTAAACTGTAGGAAGCTTGGGATCAACAGCAGTGGACAACACACCAAAGAAATTTAACCCCCCTTCTGAGGAGCTGTATTTTATTCATTTAGTGATTCTAAGGAAAATGGTATTGATGGCATGGTTTCAAATCCCAGGCTGCCATTTTCTAAAACCCAGTTTAAGACGCCGATGCACACCAAGTGGTTTGTTGGCTTCCTGCAGGCTGTCTGGACAGTGAAATTTGCTCCTCATAATTCTGTATTGAATCACTTGATTAAACAAAAGTGGATTTGAAAGCAAACACAGTAAGACTTGGGTCCTAAGCAGCGACTCCTTAATATGGACACACACCTCTGTGAGTGGTCTAGTTTCCCACTTGAAAAATGTGTGAAGGCTCACACGTGATCTCAATGAGATCCCACTAGTGGCAGCTCTCCACTGGGAAAGTACAAGAGGCCCTCAAAATTTAAGTTACACATCTCTGCCTTCTAACAATGAATTAGGCAGCATCCACCCCCTGTTTCCTTCTCTAATGGGAGGTCTTGTTTTTATGAGGTCCCCTTACACCAGAAACCTGTGCACCTAAATGAGTTGGGTACAGAGGCTCTGGTGTCCTTCCTCAGTTCCAGGCAAGTCTGGTAAGGGAGAAATGCTGCCCAACTGTGTTTTGAGAGTACTGCTCCAGATGACTTAACATCATAGCAATGAATCCCAAGACTCGGATTCTAACCAAAAAACAGATTTTAGATCTTGGAATTAGTGGTTGCTTTACCATGCTGCTGTCTGTGACCCATTTATTCCTGGACACCTTTTATGAAAGTAATATGGATTTGTCTTGGGCAACATGGGAGCTTGTGTCAGGAGCATCCATTTATTTATACCCTATGGGCTTCTACCAATGCTGTCAGACTTCTCTGAATGCTACTATTGCTTAGATCTTTCTCCCTTTAACTCCCCCCACCCCCCACCCACACAGTGATTTAAAAAAAAAACAAAAACAAAACTTTTGTATCCGCTCCCCCCCCTGCTTCTGAGGTTATCAGGACAAAGTCAGTACTTTTCACAAATACACCTCTGTTTTGTATGTGCCTTATCAATTCATCCATCTAACTAATCTGCTCACAATAGTAAATGCTGGGATATGGTACACTGTTACCCTAAGTGACTCTGAGATCACCATACAAGTCTCATTTGATTTTCAGACCAATAATACAGGAACTCACTTAGTTAGCAAGTGTTCCTTTTCCTAGTGCTCCAACTAGACTGAATCTTAAATAATAAAAGGATCATTATTCTAAGCTGTGTGTTGGGTTTTAGAGGAGAACCATCCATGAAGCCAGGGCTGAAGGCACAACTAGAATCCTGAGGATACTTTTTTCAGAACATGTGTGGTGGACTTAATGATCCTGCCTGGCACATCCTGGGCTCAGAAAAATCTTCCTTGTGCTTGGTGGATGGGCTCCACCAATCAGGTAAGGGCTAGGTGGGGTTGGCTCCACTTTGCCTGGAAGAGGAGGCACAAGGAGCCTCCCAGACCTAAGTGAAGCCTGTATTTGGCAGGTCCAGCAAAGCTTCGGGGCTGGAGCCTCCAAAGTGAATAAAAGGAGCTGTGTACGCAGCATATGAGAGAGAGATGTTGGGTGCACAATGAAGGAAGAATGGGTTAAGAGCTGGGGAAGAGCCCAGCAGGCAAAGCAACACCCAGAAGAGCCCTCCTTGTTGGGACCAAGGCCTCAGCCCCATCAGTGCACGGAGCCCAGACCGTGGGAGCCACTCAAGGTAGCCCAGGTCTGCAACCCCGGCAGGCGGCCAAGGAGCAGCAATTTGTGCTGGTGGGTCAAAAAGCTGACCAGGACTCTGGGAGCTGTTTCAAGGCAGCTCAGGTCCCCAAACCCTGACATACAGCCAGGCTGCCAACATGGCATGACCCCACAGCAGGTCCCCGGTGTCATGAGGTGGCCTGGGCCTCCAAAATCTGCCACAGGGAGTGAGCCAAATGGTGCATGTGCCATGAATAGCTCTCAGGAAGGGAGAGAGACCCGGGCAGCAGCCAGCCACTGTGCCAGGAAAGGCACCCACCCCACAGAGCCAGAGCAGCCCTGTGTCACTAGGGGGTCCTGCAGGGGAGGGAGCCAGCAAAAGCTTCTGTGAAGTAGGGTCCTCCCCTCACGAGGGGTTGGAGCAGCCTGGAACATCATCCCCTTTTCCCCTAGCAGAGCTGCAGCCAGGCTTCCCATCACTGAATGGGGAGACCCTAGCATAGTAGCACCTTCAGACACCTGGAAGGGTAAGCAAGTGCCTCATATTTTGTCATTTGTGCCATATATTTTGTCAGTTGAGATTTCACTGTTATAGGAGCACAAATGCATTTGTGCTTCGATTCCCATTACATACATGACAATGTTCTTTCAGACTGTAAATAGTTAATTGTGTTGATCCCAGTTGACATGCTGTATTTACCTGTGTTTGCTTATACTTAATGGTTCCAGATCCATTACTTACATGTATGGGTTGAAGCTCTATAGGAGGTATAAAACTGATATATTCAATGATACAGGACTATATACACACACATATACCCAATTGTCTAACTATATACAAGCTTATTAATTAATAAAATAAAGCTATATACATGTGCCCATGTCTGCATCTGACTTAATTTTATTAATTAATAAACCTGTATATAGTTTAGAGTCAGGCCAGGACCCAACTGCTTTAGGGAACTGAGGGGAAACTGTGTGGTTGACAGTTCCCTCCCATAGCACTTCTGCCTGCTGACAACCCCCTTCAATTCAGAGAAAGGGGGTACATACTGTCACAACCCAAAGGTGTGATTTTTGTTTTTGTGCGCGCTTTGGCACCACTGAATTATTTTCCCGCCAATTTGTAGCTTTCTTTGCAGTGTGCATTTCTTCTTTACAGCACAGAAATGCACTTTGCAAAGAGTTCCCACCATTTGCATTATAATTTGAGCCCCATTATTGGCTTGCATTAAGTTATTCACACGTGGCAGCTAGCGATTGGCTTGCTAGCCATATAAAAAGCTTGAGTGCGCGCGGGCCGGGAGCGACCCGAGCCCTTTTCCGCACTGCACGCGGGCTGTGGCCAGCAGCCCGGGCACGCCAGGTTGGAGAGGGAAGGCCTTCGAGCTGGAATTGGGCACAGACGCGTATCGGTAGTTTTAAAGATTGTTTACTTACACCGAGATGGCAGTGGTGCAGGCTGGAAAACTTGAGTTGCAGTTACAGACAGACAACACAGACGGTCTCGTGGAGGTTGCTAGGCTCCACAGTGCAGAGCTCCGGATGCTCTGGGTGAACAAGCCACCAAAATAGAAATCGTAGATACGTCTTATAAAAGTTGCGCTCAAAGACGGGAAGAGGTGGGCGGTGGATCAGGCCTCCAAGCTCCTCTGGATCTCACACAGGGTTTTTATTACCCTGCCGTGTACCCAGAGTCCCCACGAGATGGATGTGGAGTCCTCTTCAGCTTGGGTGGAAACCGCTCAAGCCTCTTATACGGCTAACAGGCCATGAGCAATGCACTCTGCAAAAGAAGCTGCAGAAAAGGCGGGAAACTCGTCCCTGCACTGGGGTTTTCCTCTGCAACAGGAAACTCTCCCGTGCAATGCTCTGCAACTTGGCGGGGATAGTTCTGGTGCCAAAGCACACAAAGTCATGCCTTTGGGTCATGACAGAGTGGTTTCCGCCCAAGTTGGAGGACTCCACAAACACCAGGAGGAGACTTCACACTGTGTGAAGATCTCCAAGTGCTGCGGAGCCTATTGGACCCAGCGCATTTCAAGCGGGCAACAGGGGTCTGATCAGCCCCTAGCCTTTCCCTGTCACCGAGCGCAATCCTCGGCGTATCCCTCTCCCTACCCGCACAAGTTCCACGGAGCCTAGCAAAATTCAGCTCAGTCTAAACTTCATGTGAGTCTATTCAGAGCTCTTTTCTTCGAGTACTTTCTTCGGTTGGCGCAATGGGCTCGTGGTTTAGAGCCTCCAACCGGATGGGCTAGAAGAATGTTCATGGGAAGAAACTCTAGTCTGCCTCTCTTCTTTTCTATCTGTAACTGCAACTCAAGCAAGTTTTCCTGCCTACACCACAACCATCTTCGGTGTAAGTAAACAACCTTGAATCAACCATTACGCGTCCGTGCCCAATTCTAGCGTGTCGCCTGCTTTCACCGACCCAGTGTGCCCGGGCTGCTGGCCACAGCCCGCGCAGCGCAAAAAGGGGCCCGGATCGCTCCCGGCCCGCACACATACCCTGTGTGTGCCCTAGCTACATATATTTTGCTAGGTTTTTCCATTAGGGCTCAGGTGTTAAAGCATTAAATATGTGCAAGAGGCATCACTAGTTCGGTAGCTTTTAATATACACTGTTGTATGCTCTTAGCTTCTGCAGAGTTCGGGGTTGGATTATGATGTTCTTCATACTGAAGGGAAAAAAAAAAATCTAGTATAGATTAGAAGTTCACTGTTATATAATAGCTATATTATAGACTGGTCTGTTCCTGTCAGACTTATTTTCATCTTTATAGGAAAGCTGTTGTGTACTTAGGAGGAGGATATTTCCAATCCCACAAGATTTGTATAAATTCTCGTTGTTTTCTGTTTATCCTGAAGATTCGTTTAAAATTTTCAATTCTTGTTATATTAATAGAATCGATATTGAAATATTTCTGTATTCCTACAAATCACACTGGCACTTGATTCTAAAGCTTTAATTAAATTCACCAAGTATGATAGTAAATAATATTCTACTCAGTCACAAAAGTGTCATTTAGGAAATATGGCATTTTTCACTACTCATCATGTACAGGAATTCAGTTAACTGCAGTACATTTGTATTGACATTAAGTGACCATCAAAGCAAGCCAAAGCACATTTCTTATAGTCAAGCTTCAGTAGTCTGAGGCTAGAGACAGAAGTTACACAAACTAGTTTAAAGCGATCAGAAACTGGTTTAAAATGTGTAACAGAACAGAAGCTCAGTGCACATAAGCCACTTCCAAAAATGGCCGAAGCTGGTTTAAGATAAACCTGGCTGAATGTAGTAGCAGACCCAACTGATTTAGGTCAAAACCAGTTTATGCAACTTCTGTCCCAGACCCCTTCCTGGTTCAAGTTAAATCAGTTCTTTAATATGGGTCACAGCCCTGGGCTGGGCTGTCTGCTCTCTAGCTGGAGCAGGCTCACTGTCCCTCCAGACAAATCCCTGCTGGGTCTGGGGCTAGGGAGGGGGGTTAAGCTTCCCCCAAAGTACAGAGCTGCCCTGCCGGCTACAACTGTGGACTACAAATCACAGAGGCACCTGGAAGCAGGAAGAGGAAGTGATAAGCAACCCTGCAGAGTCCTGCTGCTGGTGTAGACTGCAAATCCCAAAGACCTCAAGGGCAGGTGGAAGAGAAAGAAAACACAGCCCATGCTGGCTACATGCCAGAGAGACGTGCTTTAATGCCCCCTGGCTTCTGCTTGAGCCACTGCAGACATGTGGCCGCATTTCCTGAATCAAAACTGAGCATCTGTTCATTTTTTTTTTTTTTTTTGTTCAATCTGTGCAGCCTAGACTAACCTGCAAAGACTGAATTAATTCAGCCTCAGATTTTTGACTGTCTGTACTTAGCTTGAATGCCCAGTCCTGGCACAAAGAAAATTGAAGCATTAAAAAAAAAAAAAAAAAAAGCAAGCAAGCATACACTGTTACCAGTACAGCTAAAACATGTCACGTGCTTAAGATTAAGCACAAGTGCTTTGGATTCATGTAAACTGAATGATTATATACTTGCATTGTTTAAAAGGAAGCTTTAGAATCCATCCAGCTATTTCACTATTGCTTAGTTACTTATAGAGCCATTGATCTGTACAACCCTTTATATACATAAAGGACACAGCTCCTTTCCAAGGGACAATGTGGTTGTTCATGTGTTGAGGAGTTAGATGCACAGAGTACCTTCCATGATATTCCGCATCTACTCCCTCATCCTCAAAGTTATATTTTCTTTCATCTCTTTTTCCCTAGTTAGCTACTGTGTTGCCCATGGACAAGTGAGTATTTAATGGGAATTGGTGAGTATTTATTCACCAAGGCACCCCCAGGGGTTACAAGAAATAATGGCCACAAGCTAGCAGAGAGCAGATTTAGACTGGACATTAGGAAGAACTTCTTCACAGTTCGAGTGGCCAGGGTCTGGAACGGGCTCCCAAGGGAGGTGGTGCTCTCCCCTACCCTGGGGGTCTTCAAGAGGAGGTTAGATGGGCATCTAGCTGGGGTCATCTAGACCCAGCACGCTTTCCTGCTTATGCAGGGGGTCGGGCTCGATGATCTATTGAGGTCCCTTCCAACCCTAACATCTATGAATCTATAAGTGGTATGCAGCAGCCAGAGCTGTCCCAGCCTCCCCAATGAGCTATGGCTTCATCCTGCCCCAACCTGGCTGGGTGAATGGCAGCAGGGCCACTCACCCAGCTGGGGTTGTGCAGGGCTGGGAGGCCAAGGCTGCTCCAGCCACTGCACATTGCCTGTCCGGAGGCAGTGCGGTGGCTCCACCCCACCCCAGCTAGGTGAGCAGTGGGAGGACATAGCCCCTGCTCCGAGCACCTTCCACCACCTACCCAGAGCATAGCCTCACACAGCCCTGGCCCTGCCCCGCACAGATCCAGGGGCACATACCCCCCCACCCCCCATACCAGTGGTGTGCAGCAGCAGGAGCCACCCCCCACCTCCTGCTGCCTCCGCCACCTGCTGGGCATCCCTGTCCCAGCCCCAATGCTTCCCTTGCTGTGGGAGCACTGATCTGCCCCTGCCACACCCCACAACAAACTTACCAGGTAGAGGCAGTTGTGTCCAGTGTCGTAAAGTCAAAACCCTGTTGGAACCTTGAAACAGTCATAGTTTACAAAAGGTTGTAAGCAATGTTTGTTGTAAGTCCAGGACTGCCTGTAGTACAGGAGGAAGGTCTGTAAATAGACCCAAGGCAGCATTTCTTTAAACTGATCGTCAGGGGGTGAGGAGTCCAGAGCTGCTTCTGAACATGTTGCTTACAGGGTACAATAAAAAGATATTTATGGAAGCATCTAATTAAGGATTTTCATGGTACAGAAATTCCTTCACTCAGGCCTGGTGGTCACCTCCAGTAGGCTCAGGTACAGTTTTTCCATCATTTTGATGGAGGTGCAGGATTTGAGCATGTTCCAGTAGTAAAAGCAAGGAGTAGTAGTCAGAACTACAAATTCTATTCCCCCATCTCTGCTTTTGACCCAGTAAGTAACCTGAAGCCACTGTTCTGTGCTCCAGCTTTTCTAACTATGAAGTGGGGATAGTAAAATATACGCATGGCATACCAGAACAGTGAGAATAAAATTCATGTTTGTAAAGCACTTGGAATTCTTCAGATTAATTATGGTAATTTTAAAAAAATTAAAAAAAAAAAGTTTGTTATTTTCACACTGTTGTACTATAGCCTGCAAGTCAGCCTCAGACATGACTGTAAGGTGACTGAACAGAGGATTAGAGTTCAGCCATGATTTTTGCCATCTCCTGCACACTGCCCTGTTCTTTGAGCATGTTTCTTAAATTAACGTTTTCCTATAAGGATGGCCAAGATTATCTATTTAAATTACATATTTAAATACCAAAATAAAAAGGCCTGATTTGCCAAGGCGATATGCACTCACTGTCCCTAATTAAGCCAACATGCCATTTACAGATACTCAGCACTTCAAGAAAGCAGGCTACTTATTAGGCTGCATAGCCTAAACCACTGAAGTTTAATTATTTTTTTCTTTCATCTCTCATACAAATACAGATTCGGCAAGTGTCTCAAGGGTGTTGTTGGCATGAATTAACCTTCATACAGCACTTAAGATCATATATACTAGAAGGGACCTCCTTTATCAGAGGATAGTCCCCCCATGTTCTCAGGTAAATTAACTGAATGAATCCCCTAAATTGCCACTTCAAACCCCAACCAAGAGCTACAAGAAACATTGGAAATATATAATCCCCAGGGCATGCAGCTTTGGGGTTCAGGAGGGGGAAATTCCCCTCAGCTCCCTGGGGCTGCCCCATGCTGGGGTGAGAAGCCACCCCAAGGCAGGGGTTCCCTGGTGCCCCCATGCTGGACTGCATGGGTGGGCACCCAGCCCAGAGGACTCCTCCCTCCTGTGGCAGCTGCTGAAGCAGCCAGCAGCTGGGAGAAGGTCCTCAAGGCAGGGGCTCCCTGGTGCCCACATTGCAGGGGCCTTGGAAACTCCTTCTCCATCCCGCTTGTGGCAGCAGGTAGAGCAAGCAGTTGTGCAGGGGACATGGGGAATTGGCTCCTCAGGCTACCCCTGGCACAGGGGGAAGGATCCAAAAGCCCCCACCACAGGGGCCTTCCCTTCCCCCCATGCTCTGTATAGATCCCCAGATCCCCCTAGCCCCGGTCTGTTCTTCTGCTCCCCCCCAGCTGATGGATACATTTAGGAAGCAGACCAGGGAGCAGAGAAGCAGGGCAGCACTGGAGCAAATGGCTGCAAAGCATCCTGGGATGCTGGGGGGAGGGGTGGGGAGGAAAAAGAGAGGGTGCTGTGCTTTGACTTGAAGCAGGAAGGGACCTGGGACAGAAGTTCCAGAAACCAGTTAGGTCTGATACTACATCCAGCCAGGGTTGGCCAGAACTAGTTTTGGCCATTTTGAGGTCAGTTTAATGTACACTGCACTTCTGTTACAGGCTTAAAGAAGGTCCAAATCACTTCAACCAGTTCTGGATTTTTCTACTGCTCTGCTGTAGCTGGTTATGGACAGGAGGCAGTGCATCCTGGTATAGTTCAGGGCTGGGGTATCCAAGATACAGTCCATGGAGCAGTTCAACCTGGCCTTCTGGAGGCACTGACCAAGGGACCAGGAGCAAGGCCTGCAAGTGTAGCTGGGGGGGGGAGGGGTGGAATCTACATTCATCCAACACCCCCCATGGATAAGTCAGTCCTTGAACCAGCTCCTTTAATCTGGTCCCAGCAACTTAGTCTCTCTCTGGGCTCAGCAACACAGGCTCAAATGCCCCAGACTCATCTGCTCTACAGGGCTCAGCCAAACAATACAAGTACTCTAAAATAAACACACCTTTATCCTGGCCCCAGCAACACAAGTTTTAAAGCCCTGGGTAAACCTGCACCACAGAGCTAAACAGAAAACATAAAACAATCCAACCTAAACACCCACAAGCATGGATTAACTCTCACCTCCAGTCTTCCTTCCTCCTTACAGAAAACCTCACTCTTTACCAGACCATCACCTCTCCACATCCTTTTCTCTCCTCACTTCCTCTTTATTTCTAGTCAGCCAGTTATTGGCTGATTGCCTGAGCCAGCTGAGGCCCCTTAGGTGGGGGCTTGTTAGGGGCTGGCTAATTGATCCAGGTTGCAAGCCTGCAGCCTGTTACACAGGCACTGAGCAATGACAGTGTTAACCTTCAGACTACTGCCATGCTGCTCTTCCTCCTGTCACCAACAACATCTGAATCCATCCTGGTAGAAGTTGGGGGCAGTTGTGTTTGACACCCCTGGTTTAGGTCATTATATTTTACAAAATACTTGTGCTAGGTAGTGCAGTTAGAGCAGGATGCTCTACAATCCAAACATCTCTAATAAAAAAATATGTAGTTGCCATTTTTATACTATTCCTTTTCAGAAGGAAGCTGTTGTGGGACTCAGACATGCGCTATGCATGCTGTCAAACTGCACATTCCATGGCTGGAAGATATAAAGCACATATGACAAACCTATTAACTTTTTGGTAAATATTCTTTTAAAGTATTGCTGTGACAATATTTTACTTCCTGGCCAAAGCAATGAATATCAAAGTCTGTTTTCACTGATAACTTTTGGCTGCCTGAATAGAGCAAACTGAAGCAAATTTGTAGGCAGGAAATAATTTTAAAGATTACTATTCTATCTCAGTGGTGGAAGGATGTAAATTCTCAACTGTCCCTTTTAAAATGTATAAGTCTTGAAATACCCTGGAGCCACATGTGCTAGTAGGTCAGCCAGACAGGACAAACATTTACAAAGCACTTTGTAAAATCAGGACTCCAAATTCTCAGGAGAAAGGATTGGGCTACATTTCTTTCCTCTTGTCCTGCAGAGAAATAAGGGGCAGGGGGGGAAGGGAGAGGGAGAGGGAGAGGTGTCACCTGTATATTAAATAGAATTAGAGGCCTCAAGCAATTGTTGGATTGGACTATGCATAAAAATTAGCTTTTTCAACACAGTCCATCAGTTACTGTCTTCTAGGCTCTGTGCCAGTTCTGATCAGCTGGGTCCTCTCTGGCCATTTTTACTCCCAGTTTGTATAGCTTAATCTTTTTTATGTTATCTTTAACTTTGCACATGGAGATTTTTTTCCTTCCCAAAGTTGCATTTTGGAATTAGGATATCTAACCATGGTAGCATATCTATTAATAAAGGTCCAGATATTAACATTCTTGTTCATATTGCCTAGTGCATTACTGCACAAGAAGTCTCTTTTACTTTAATCTGATAATTTGCAAACATGACACTACACAAATTAAAAAAATATATATAGAAGTACAATCATATTGGGCATAGTTATCCATTTACTTGTTCATGTTTTCTGTCCTCCCCAAATGTCAGGCTGTGTTGGTATTTTTTTTGTTTTGGGAGTTTTTTGTTTTTGTTTTTAAATCTTTGCTTTGTGCTGCAAAGCAGTAGGTTTTAGGCAGTTTTAGAACTAGCTCCACTGGTGATCTGTATATTCCATATATCCCCATCTACAGTGGAGGAAAAAGGAGTGACAAAATTGATGATCTGCATACAGGAAGACAGAGAAGGATGTTAAAATTATTTCCGTTTCAGACTTATACCTTTACAGTATGCCTAAATAATGACCTGGGGTGTGTTTCTTTTCCTGTTTATGAAGTAATAATCACAGCCCAAGCTTAATAAAATGTGAAGTTTATGTTCAGGGAGTTTACTAACCCCATGTCCAATTACAGAGCTTACAATCTAAAGAAAAAACATGGGCCAAGAGCATGAAAAAGGGATAAGGCACAAGAAACTGAAGCTTAGAGAATTTGAGTGATTTGCCCAAAACCACATTGCAGAATGAGAAGGCAGCCAAGAGAGAAAGGTTATGGCACTGGGGTGGAGGGTGGAAGACTTACGGAAAAATGATGAGACTGGCACTTCCTGCAGATAATTTGAAGAGACAGAAAAGGAGTTTACTAAGTTGCCTCTATACCATCACACGTTTCTTAGTTTAAGAGGACTCATTTATATAATATAGGTAAGCACTTGTTTATAGAATAAACACATTTCCAGAATCACTCTGTCCACCACAGGATAAAAGGAACCGCTCCACAGCCCCCGAAGTGACTGTAACTCAGCTGAGGTACAACATCATTTAGTAGTACTTGGCAAGGTGAAAGGGTTTGGAAGGAGTCCAAATTTTATGTTGGGAGGATGGAGAATTCTGAAAGCAGTACTCTATCAGAGCAGAGAAGATATTACATGTGTGTGTGTGTATATATGTATATATATGTATTATATACACAAACACACAAGTCCCCTTGCTTTGATTTGATAGTAATGGCCTTCAGCTAGAGAACAGTTATTTGAATACTGAATGAGTATTGAAAAGTAACTGTAGTTAGCAAGTCATAAAGACACATTTAGGGTGAAAAGAATTCCATCACTGAGCAAAAATATTTATTTTTTAGATATTTAAAGCAAAGCAACATATGAGCAAGCCAATCCCTGAGGTTTACGTGCCCTGCTGTCATCAGAAATATAGTTCATAACAATAAAAAAGTCCCAAAACAAGCACAAAAACTACCAGGGAAGGGGACAGGTTGATAAGCAGCAGCTGCCAAGGACAGCCCCCAGTACCCTTCAAAGGTGGTAGCAGTGAGGGGAACTGCTCTCATCATCTCCACCACCCTGGGCATCCCCAGTGCCCTTTATAAAATGAGTCTCAGGGCTGTTAAAAGGGTGGGGAACTGGTGTCACTGCTCAGCATCCCTGGAGCATCCCAAAGCTACTCAACCACTGCAGCAAAAAATCCCATCATGGTTCCCTGACAGCTCATCACTGGATGGGCTATCAGGCAGCCAGCCACTCTCCCCCTCCTTTGGAAGGTGGGAGGGGGAAGGAGAGTGGAAGACTTGGGGATTCTCAAAGTCCAAGGGACCCCTATTTGCTACATACAACAGATGTTACATGTGGCAGTGGAAGAGGGAAGGTGCTTTTTAAACAGTGAATAGTTTGTGGCAGAATCACTACTTTTTTATGGGCCACAAACTGCTTGAATGATTTGTGCCTGTCTCTAACCAATGTCAAATAGGAAAAACGTGGCAAAACACAATCACTTCATCATTCCCAAATACCGACTCAGAAAGAGGAGTTTTGCAAATGTGATCTGAGGATTAAGTGTACAGGTATGGTCTGAGCTCTGTACCACAATCTTTTGTTTGATTACCTGGGAGTATATTTCCATCATAAACTCCTACTGAAATGACAACTGCTTCAAAACATAGTATTGTCTTTGTTTTCTGTGGCACCAAGTGTCTGCTTGCGCTCAGTAGATGTTAATACTTAGATTTCATATTATTATATGTTATTTTAAATACAAATAATCCACAGAGGATTAATCGTTTGTACAAGAGGCTGGTTGATTTTTTCTCTTTATTGCTCTGCTTGCCTGACATATCCTAGAAGCAGGAGATTGATTTCATGATGGGTTATGTGGAGAATTTGGACATAATTCAAGACACATGTAGTTTGTGTTAGAGAACAAGAGATTATAAACAGCTGTGTCAAAGATGCTAATTAGCACAAATTAAAATATTTAAAGATTTGTAACATAAGAACTCAGGTTTAGGGATAATAAAAATCTTGTTCATTTTTAAAGCAACCAGAGTTCACATACTTTATAAATGACCTCAATATCAAACTTGCAAGACGGAGCAAAATAAGGACAGTGTGTCACTTAAAATGCATTTGGCATCCTGGAGCTTCCTTCTGCTGCTCTCTGTGTGAAGCACATGTAAAAGCACATTCCTGGCCACACAGAATACTCCTTAATTGTATTAAGCGAGAAAATGTAGCAATTTTATTTAATTTTTTTATATTGTTCTTTTTATCCTGATGGGTCTCAGAGTATTTTAAGAGATACTGGGTGCATCTACACGTGCACTTTACTGAGGAGCAGACTATTTAGCTCCGCAGTAAAGTTTCACCACCTACATATGTGCTTGTATTAGGGCACAGTAAATTAGTTAACTCTGCTGTGTTGGGGACAGTACTTATGTGTCGGGGTGCACCGATATATCAGTTGGCTATCAGATTGGCACTGATAAATGAGAAATTACGTTATCGGCTATCGACTTTTTTGGTCATTGTAGCTGATAATTACAGCCATGTGTCCAGAGCACCCTGGCAAACAGAGTCCGGTTCCCATGCCCCACTGCTGGCCTGAACCCATGGTAAACTACAGCTTATGGCAAACAGTGGAAGGGGGATGGGGCATTGGGGAGTGGTCACAGGGAACCACACTCAGCAGCAAAGAGATCTTTGCCAACTTCTGCTGTTGCTGCTGCCATTGCGATGACAACACTGCATGCAGCAGGGGCCTGAGCACTGGGGCTACTGCAGAGACGTTGGGTTACATGTGCGGGGGAGGGGGTAAGGCGCTGCATGAGGGACATTCTGCTCTGCCAAGCACTGGGTGTCTTTGCAAAAACAGCGCCTCCCTGGCAGCCATGGGAACTTGGCTGTGCAGGACACTCTGGCATTGAAGTAGTGGTGTGCTCTGGGGCTCCAAATGTACCCAACACTGCTGTCTGCATGGGGGTCTGACCCACCTGTCTGGGATGGCAGCACAGGCTGCATGGGGAGCAGGGCTATGGGTAGGAGCTGTGGGCAAGGGGGTGATATGTGCGGGAATAAGGCAATCACTGCCTTCTTTGTCAAGGGCCGGAGCAGGCAGCAGGTATGTGCGTGTGTTATAAATGCAAAACAAACAACAAAAAAAGGTTTATGTATGTCAGTAGTTTAAAATGTCTTGCACTATTACTAAATATCGTTTATTGGATCAGCATTGGTTGATATGTTTGGTTAATCATCGGCTATTAGTATCAGCCAAGAAAATCTTTATTGGTGCACCCCTACTTATTTGTGCTGAAACGCACATATAGATGGTGACAGGGGCCTGCTAGGACATGAGGGTGCTAAAGTGAGGGGGCTGCCTGCCACCTAGCCCTGCACTTTAGCACCTTCGTGCCCC